AAGGGTCACGCCTATGAGAAATTGGTATGGACAGTGCTAGCAGCTAACACCTGGGGGAAGCAGGATGCCAGCGTTAGTCTTCATGAAGAGATGAAAGACATTAAGGGGGTGGAAGAGAAGGTTTGAGTGGCACCCAGAAGCAACGAAGTCACCTACCCTGAATCCAGATCTGGGGGGTGAGTGGTATGTGTGTAAAGGTAGTTGTCATTTAAGAGGGCTGCCAAGGGAAGCAATAACCTCCATGGACAACCAGGGACTTTGTATAAAGAAGGGGGATATACAGAACTGCATGGAGATTAGAGATGGAAGATGAACTGGGAGACCTGGGTTTCTTGGGATAACATGGATACCAATTAAGGGCAGTGTGAAATTAGTCCTGATAGTCCCAAACCTATGGTTCTGAGGTTGAAGTTCTAGCAGAGGGAGAGTCCTGTTAGAGATTTGTAGAGTTCTTGGGGCTTCCATATTCCATCTAAGCTAATGGGGTGGCCTGGTGGGTTCACTTCTAGTGTCAACAATTTCCAAAACTATTTCAGCTATTGTTCTATTTTCGAGATGATAATTTTAAAACTTATTAAAGTTTAGTAACAGAAACTGTGTCAGTAGAAAAACATCATTTAAATTTTTTCAATGTTTGAGCATATGTAGGCTTTTTCTTGTAATTAGCATAACCCCAAGTTTCTTGCTTTTTTCCCCTTTTTATTGTTGTGAGCTTTTCCATGTAGCCATGAGAACCTGATATTTTTATTAGATGCATAGTTTTTCATGAAGTGACTATGTCTTTACCTAAATGCCTCCTTTACTGTTAGACTATAGTTGATTTCTTTCATTTTGAAATAATTACAATGAACAGTTGATAGGTGTTTTCTGTATATTTATCTACACTCTGAACATGAACTGATTCACGTTAGCAAGGATGTGGGGACAACATGTGAAAGCTTAACTGTAAAGGTTAAATGAATTATAAAGATTATTTCAAAAGTGCTTTGTTTATGCATCATTCTGCTTGGAAAAGTTAGGGTAAACTTTAGAGCAAGAAAACACTCAAATTTAGAGAACAGGTGAACCTCCAAGCCAAGAGAGCTTTGTTGATGATGGGGAAGGGCTCATTACACACCTTGCCGTGGTCTCTAGGATGACAATGGGGTGGGGAAGATAATTCCGAGAGGCTAAAAACCGCTGATCTAAAACAAACTCCCCAAACTTCTTAGAGACCCAGAAGCCAGCAAGGTTACCGTAATGTTAGAGCCTGTAAACAAGTCAAAATAACACCTGGCATTTTGCCAGGGGAATGTTAGAGTTCCTAAACAAGTCTGGATGGTGCCTGGCAAAATGCCAGAGGGAGTGGTTTGAGAAGTAACAAAAGCGAGCCATTAAGTGTGGAGATTCCTGATTGGTTGACTGATGTATCTAGTTTATGTTAATTAGATAAGCTGTGTGACGTGATACAGCAGGAGTAGGAGCAGTTTATTGCAGGCCAGGAGCAGTATTTATACATTCCACACAGCTTATCTAATTAACATAAACTAGATACATCAGTCAACCAATCAGGAATCTCCACACTTAATGGCTCGCTTTTGTTACTTCTCAAACCACTCCCTCTGGCATTTTGCCAGGCACCATCCAGACTTGTTTATGAACTCTAACATTCCCCTGGCAAAATGCCAGGTGTTATTTTGACTTGTTTACAGACTCTAACACCGTAAATCCTTTCTTTAAAGTCACAAATCAAGCTGGGTGTGGCGGGGCTAAGGCAGGAGGATCACAAATTCAAAGCCAACCTCAGCCACTTTGTGAAATCTTGTTTCAAAATGAAAGCAAAAAGGAGGGCTGGGGGTGTTGCTTAGTGGTAGAGCAACCCTGAGTTCAATCCCCATTTTTCTTTTTAAGCTCATAAATCATTAGTTATTTTGTAACCTATGGGTGAAGTTTTATCTTTAGCTTTGAAACTTTTTTTTAACTAGGAATTGAACTAAGGAGGACTTTACTACTGAGCTACATCCCCAGACCTTTTTCTTTTTTGGTACCAGGGATTGAACTCGAGAGCACTCGACCACTGAGCCACATCCCCAGCTCTATTTTGTATTTTATTTAGAGACAGGGTCTCACTGAGTTGCTTAGTGCCTTGTTAAGTTGCTGAGGCTGGCTTTGAACTGGAAATCGTCTTGCCTCTGTCCTCCAGAGCTGCTGGTATTAAAGGCCTGGCTTTTCTACCTTTTGAGACAAGGTCTCACCAAGTTGCTTAAGGTCTCACAAAATTGTTGTGGCTGCCTTCATACTCGCTATCCTCCTGCCTCAGCCTTGACTGCTGGTATTCCAGATATGTGAAAAGTTCTTTTTGCACATTTCTTTTGGTCCTGTTAGAACTTTGTACACTAAGTCAATCAGGTACGTCTCATTTTGCTAATCTCCTTGTAATCAAACGTTACAATTCAGACATCAGTTTCATGTATATAAATCCTGTATTTTTTTTTTTTAAATTAGGTTGTTTTGGCATCTTCAATGGCTCCACATTAGACAAATTAAAAAAAAAAAAAAAACCCAAATCTTGTAATCTGTCTTCTGTGTCTATCTCCTTTATTATGACTGTTGAGTCATATGAGAAAATACTCTTTTCTCTGCTCCACTATAACTGAAAATAGACGCATTACTTTTTCTAGGTAAATTTCCTTTACAGATTACAAATCTCATTTAAATTTGTTTCACTTGGAATTTACCTCCCTATCATCACCTTTCAATTCTAAAAGGCAACATGTACTCTAAATACCATTATTGATCTAACCTGCTGCTCTTAGAAGTGTGAAAAGGTCAGTTTCAACAAACCAAGCAATAGGCAAGGAGTTGGAAAACTTTAAATGACCAGGTAGGAATGCTTTCAGCTTTGTGGGCCGTAGGATGTCACATTATTCAACTCTGCAGGGCAAAAGCAGCTATAAAAAATGTAAACCAGCAAGTGTGGCTGTTCCAATAAAATTTATTTACCAGAACAGGCAACAGGGTGGGTCTGGCCCCACAGCTAGTTTGCCACACTTTCAGTAAACATTTGACCTTGCCTCTCATCATAAATTGGTGTCTCTGGAAGAGTTTTAATCTATAGCAAGTATAGATTAAATTTGTAAAGTGCTCTTTTCAGTTTTTCAACTAATTGAAGTGTGTCTGAAACTCTGTGACCAGGCTGCACACTTGGCATGTTTTTGTTATTCTGGTACATGAGAACAGTGCAATCTTGGGCATTTGGGATATATGTCATAAATCCTGGCATGGCCAGCAGGGAGGAGTGGCATATCAGCTATTCTCTTGTCGAATGGTCTCAGCAGTACTGTTTGTTACCTTTTTTCCTCCATCTGAAAGCATGGTTGCTAAGACTCCTGTGAACTAATCTCAAATCAGTAACTTCATTAGACATTTTAGTGATTCCACTTTGAGAAGTAGGGTGCTGAAGGTCACTCTGTAGAAGCAAGGTCCTTACTCTTCTCTATACCCTCTTGGGCTTATTTCAAAATTAAACTATTGTACTGCTGTTTTTTTTTTTTTTTTTTCAGTGTCCTGTAGGGCTGGGAGTGTAGCTCAGTGGTAGAGGGCTTGCCCACATGAGCAAGGCCTTGGGATTGATCCCTGGCAAAAAATGGAGTGTGACTTACTGCAGCTCTGGCTATTTACTGAACAATTTTGTGTAATGCGCACACCTGCTTGAGTTGTTTTCTTGCAACACTTCTTCCAAAGTGCTCTCTTCAGAACACACTGTTTTGCATACAGATGACTATCATGTACCACACCTGGAGGAGCCTCACACATTACAATATAATCATGTTAGTTTTCACAAAGGAAACCAGGAGAAAAATGTATTTTCTTAATAGAAACAAATTGATATCTATAAATGCTCATCTGCCTACAGCCTGAAAGGACACTGTATTTATCATTGTCAAGGGCTATGAAGTACTTATTTTTCACAGCAGTTTAATGACAGAAATTCCAACTGAAGGGCGACATTTGGATGCTCATGTTCTCATAAAATGCTTAGGTACATAAATTAGAATGTCCCAGCCTCGGAAGGTGAACTGAAAAGAACAGATCTACCAACTGTAGCTAGGCTGGGAGAAGAATCATTGGGTGAAAAATCCCATGAAAACAAGTTTTAAGGAGAAACAATTTTTTGAGAATTTTTTTTTTTATAAATAGTAGGAAGTTCTTGTTATTCACTTACAAAACTCACAAAATTTGCTTTTCGGCACTTAAAATATTCATCTTCCATCTTTACTTATTGGGTTACTCTTATTCAAATTTGTATAGGAAGCCATTTAAGACAACATCTTTAAGTACTTTAAAAGAGAAGCTGAACATGGTAGTGGGCACCTGGGACTCCCGATTTCGAGGCCATCATGGGCCACATGAGACTCTGGCTCAAAATCCAAAAGGTACTTTAAATGCTCAAATTCCAAAAAGTACTTTAAATGACATCAGCAGCACATTTTCAATAATGGTATGAATCCTGACAAAAACAAACTGGCTGCTTTAACCCAGTGAAAATGACTCCTAGCATTTATTTAGTGTTTTTTATGTGCCAGGCACTATTCTAAACACCTGAAATGTATAACAAACTGCAAGCAGAAGCTGGAGCTGGTGTTTGAGCACAGACACCTGAGGATGTCTTGTTTTGACAAAGAACCAGACATTGAATTTAACTGAGGCACATGGTCCACTTCTCCTATTAAAATACCTATTTTTTAAACTGGGCAGGTGTCACACACCTGTAATCCCAGCGACTTGGGAGGCTGGGGCAAGAAGATTGCCAGTTTGAGGCCCTAAGCAACTTGCAAGACACTGTCTCAAATTAAACAAAAAGGACTGAAGATATGGCTCAGTGATTAAAGCACCCCTGGGTTAAAACTCCAGTACCCTGCTCTCCCAAATCCAATTTTTTTTTTTTTAAAAGATTCATTTTGTCTAGAATGCTTCTGATTTTATAAAAGGTGTTATTACCCTGAAATATCTTTTAATGCTAAGAGTTTTATACATTTTATTGAATATTTTTCATTTTCCATTTCAAAATGAATCAATTGCAAATGACATAATTTTACAGAGATTTAAATGTACCAACAATTACATATATAACCTTTGCACATCTAGTTGAAAAACATAATGTTAGTAAATAGGTGCACATTTATCTTATTTTAAAAAAACTTCTATGAAACCTAAGATCAATATATTGAAATTAGATTTCCTGGGTAATGCTAGAAGTCTATGGCTAAAGAATATTCACAAAGAAGGAATAAACTACAAAATGAGAACTACAGCATGTGAGACAGGATGGTCAACTATGATATCCTCAAATCTGATTTGTAGAACTTGCTTTCAGTTCCTTACGCTTGTTCTTTAACATTATATTCTGATATTCTCAAATACTACTACTAAAAACTATTGCTCCTTACAGAGAAAACCTGCAATAAAATGTGTGCTTCTCTGTATAACTAGTTTAATAAACATTATCCAAAAACTAGTATATTAATTTAAAATTTATAGTAAGAAACTTACTAAAAGCAAAAAACGACTATCACTGAAAACAGGCCCATCTGAGGGATTGCATTTGGCTAAATCTGGCTAAGCAGACTTCTAAGAATACAGTAACTATGCACCATGAGGATAAGCAGGTCTCTGCCCTGGGTGATAGGTGAGCTTCTCTTGCCTCCCTTACTGAGGAGTCTCGTGAAGGCGGGATCTGCTTCCTATCCCCACACTAAAATTTGCAAGTTGTGCTTTTATGACCTTTTTCACTGGAGACCATAAGTTTGAGTTGAATTATTCAATGTGACTGTCACAATGAGAGAACGAGGATCTTTCTTATTCTTATGAACTGTGATCTTTCCTTTCAAGACTTCACCTATAAAAGGCAAAAAAAAAAAAAAAGGTTAAGAATTCAAGAAATACAAACTAGTAGAAAAGTTCACGATACCTAGCAATTTCCTTTTTTTGTGTGTGTGTGTTGATGTTTCCCTAATTTTTAAAAATTTTTATTTATTTTTAAAATTAATAGGCTTCATTTGTTAGGGCAGTTTATTTTATGTATTTTTAAACAAGGCAAGAACTAACTACAATGATAGTATCAAATCCTTGAGAAAGAGTGCAGAACCACAGTGGTCATGCAGGGTTAGGGAGCAGTTTTATTAAACTCTTGAACAGAAGGCTGTATGGTGGGTTCTGGGCAGAGAGAAAACCAAATGAGAGGATCCTGTCCACAAAGAGTTCATGATCAAGGGTGAAAGAAATAGCTATTATCAATAATTACATGACAAGCTTGTGTCTAAAAGTGTGCTGGAGGTGAGGGTGGAGTGGGGATGGTTGGAAGGCAAGAAAGGGCAGTTTCATGAGAATCAGTGACGTATCCAAGGGCAGGGCTAAAGTCATGGCTAACCAGACTTAGAGTATACGTGTAATGGCAGTTATAAGGGACAGAAACCATGTACAATGAGCCTTCAGTGAATGGCATTTTGAGGAAAATCAGATGGGAAAACTTACATTACATATCTGTTTAAAGGCAAAGGCCGAGTTCCTAAACACTGATTGTTCTTTTTTTATTCCAAAATGGAATTATTTATGTGCTTTTGATATAAATACTTCTCATTTAATTTTTTTTCATCCATTTGTGAAGAGCTATTTAAAAATAACAAGAGAGATTGCTCAGTTGTAACTGATCATCATTCCTTGCTTTAATGAGAGTAAGATCACACCAACGGAATTAGGAATAGCTTCATAAACTGGGTGGACACTATGAGACTTCAAGTAAGATGACTGAAGCATCCTTGTAAATACTTAATAAAATACTTAATAAAACAAACAACCACAAAACAAAACAGCCACAAGCAAAATCTAACAAAACCACTGAATTGATATTTTCAGAATATAATGATCCCATTACTGTCCCATTCTATATGTATCTTTGCAAAAAAGTGAGACATGTACTTTAATGCAAAATTAAGAAATTAAAGAAGAAATAATGTGGTACAAGGTACATTCCATTCAGCAAAATATAAAAAATGATTTTAAGTCCAGTCATAAATTAATGTGTACATGTGGCTTTAGCTTTTATATCTAATTTATTCCTCTATATTAATTTTTATTTTTTTAGTTTTTGATAGACCTTTATTTTATTTATTTATATGTGGTGCTGAGAATCGAACTCAGTGCCTCACATGCCAGGCAAGTGCATTACCACTGAGCCCTAGCCCTAGCCCCAGGCCCAGCCCCTTATTCCTATATATTGTTAAGAAAATGAATTCAATGCCCTATTTCATATGCTATGCTCTGTGGGAGACCAACCTTACACGTGACTGAGTCACACTCCCCGGCTGGGTGCTGAGGTCACAGAAATGTGGCAGAGCTTTCCCCACCCTTCTTGGGTTCAAGGGTCAGTGTCTCGTGCATGGGTGTGTCTTGCTACAGCCCCATGGGTGAAGCTATGCTCACCTGTTCCTTTGTAATATAACCCCTTGCCCTGTTTAGGATAGAATCTTCCATGGAAGTGCGTTGTGTGTGTCCCCTTCTCTTACTGTGCCCTTGGGTGTGGCCTACCCAGATGTCAATCAACCTGCTGACAGTGGACATCATGAAGATAGACTCAGCCCCCTGAAACCTGACCCCTTGCCTCATTTGAATAGCTTCTCCTCAATAAAAGGGGTCAGTGCGTGCTCTCTCTCTCTTCCTGCCGACCCTTAAGATCAGAGGAGCCTTCACAGCGACCCAAAAGAAAAATGTATTTGTGTCTCTTGTGTGGTTATTTTGCACAGCCCAGTTAACCCAGTTTACCTGGAGTGACCCCTGAGCCTTTTAATCTCGAAAACAGAAACCCGGCAATGCTCACAATAGCATTCTTGGGAGAGTACCAGTCACATGGCCTTCACAGTGTTCAGGCAATCATTAAGTAATAATAATTGATAATATTTATTCAACACGTATTTTGTCCCAGCTCTGAGAAAATAATCTTCATAGCTTTAAATCTAGTATAATAAACAGAAAAGGGTCTAAATTTTACTACCCTGTGACATGTTTTTGTAAAGACAGTCACTTGCTTATAAAAACATTAATATTTAAATTCATATACTTTAATACATATTATCTGTTAAAGAAATGATTTAGGGAAGAAATAAAAAGTCAATATTTTCAAACATTTGAAATTTTTCAATTTTGAACACAGATAATATTTAGCTGTTATCAACATTTTTAAACTTCTATTTTATACCAACAACCTTACCTTGAATTTACTATTTACAGATACTGAAACGAGGAAGGAATGGCAATTTTATGTTAAACTGACATTGTTTTTATGAGTACATGATGGAGAACAGTAATTATGAACTTGCATACTGGGTTTCACTTACATTTTGAATTTTCAACAGTGAAGACAACTGTTGATTTTTACAATTTAATGGCTTGTTTCTTCTCACTTATTAATAGTATATCTTAGTGTAACTCATTTAATTTAGTTAATGTTTTATAAAGGAGTTCATATGTATAAAAAGACAGATAATGTGTATTTGAGGTTCACAAATAATAAAATGACCTCCTCGAATCCGACACAAGGCTTAGAACCTCACCAACACTAATGAAACCTCCTACTGTGTCCATCTACCACATCCCCCCTTTTTTTAAAAAAAATATTTTTTTAGTTGTAAATGGACATAATCTTTATTTATTTGTGGTGCTGAGGATCAAACCCACTACCTCACACGTGTGAGGCAAGCACTGAGACATAACCCCAGCCCCCACATTCCTCTTTTTTATGAGGCAACCAGAACTTTTTTGTTCCATTACCTATTCAAAATAATTTTATTTCATGTAGGTGTACCCTTAATGTCTGTGTTGCTTAGTTTAACAATATACTATTTAGCATTTATATGCTCTAAAACAGTACAAAGCAATGTAAAATGTACTGTATTTCTTCCATGGCTTGCTTATTTCATTCAGTGTTTGAGATTAATCTGAGGCAAGGAGCTACAGTTCACTCATGTTCCCAATGGTATTGTATTAAGCTGTAATAATGACTGCTATTTATCCATTCTTTTTGAATTATTTTGTTTCTTATTATAAAAAATACTATAACGATTCTTATATATAGGCATGTGTCATGTAACAACATTTTGGTTGGAGATGGACCCCACATATTGTATAGGTAAGGGAACAGCAGGCTCTATCATCTAGGTTTCTGTAGTTACACTCTGAGATTTGCCCAATGATAAAATCACCCAACAACATACATCTCAGAACATATGCCTGTTAAGAGTCCCAGGACTGTGTCCGTACTACAAGAATGTCTCTTTGTAGTATAGGAAATAAATTGCTGGATTATAGGGCATATACATGTTGAAATTACCACATAAAAACCAAAATGCTATTAGTAAATTCAACATCAATTCATAAAAAAGTCTATCATTAACATAGGAATAAAAAGAGTAACTTCCTTAGAGTCTTTATTTAAACCTGAAAGAAAACATGATAAAAAGCAAATATAGCGCCACTTGGGTTAAAGTGAGAACACAGCAAAGATGACACCATTGCTATATTACTTATATTCTTGAATGCTCTACATAAGCATATGACAAGAACTAGAATAAATTAGATACACTGTTAGGGAGAAAAAGATAAAATTAATTGCAGATGCTATTTTCAGTGAAAGAGTTGGAGAAATCTAATGTAGAGTTTGGCTAAATAATTGGCCTGTGCATTGTAGGGTAAAACTCCATGGTTCTGAGCAAAAACCCAACTCCTAGGGAGCAATAAGCCAAATAATTACCACAGCTTGGGCTTGCTTGGAGATGTCTGAATTCTATGCAGCCAGGAAAGAAGGAAACTGAACAACTGTTAATGTTTTGATTTTGGAAGAAGTATCAGGTTTTGCTTCAGCACTGGAGCTAAACCACTCTGAGTAAAGTCTACTCTTGTGCTCCCCAATAAAACTTCAAAACGATCATGGTAAAGATTAACTACTTGCCAAAGCAAACTTCAATACTTTCTTTCTTTTTTTTTGCTGTACTAGGTATTGAATCCAGGTGCACTAATTTGCTCAGGCTAGCATTGAACTCTTTTTCAATCAAAAGAGAAAAATCATGATTGTTTCATGAAGTGTAGAAAAAGCATGTGACAAAAGTCTTTCATGATAATAGCTCTCAGCAAGCCAGGAACAGAAGCAATCTTCCTTAACTTGATAAAGGGAATCCATGAAAAAGTGCAGATATATCACTGTTAATGATGAAGACGGAATGCCTTCTTCGTTGGCCTCAGAGTGAGGCAAGGAGGAGAATTTTCACTACTAGTACTCAGTATCCCATCACTGTCCTTGTCAGGGTATAAAGAGATGGGCGGGGACTGGGATTGTGGCTCAGTGGTAGAGCGCTTGCTTAGCACTGGCAGGACCTGGGTTCGATCTCAGTACCACATAAAAATAAAGGCATTGTGTTTTGTCCATCTACAAAAAAGATTCATTCTCTCTCTCTCCTTAAAAAAAAAAAAAAAAAAAAAAAGAATGGGCAGGTGAGGCAACAGGTTGGAAATAAAAAATAAGTCTTCATTTGCAAACAATTGTTATAGAGAGAAAATTCTAAAACAATTAAAAAAAAAAAGCTACTAGCACTAACATGTTTACCGCAGTCAAACCATATAAAGCCAAGATTATTTCCATATATTAGCAATGAAGAATTAGAAACTTCAAAAAACAAAAATATATACAATAGTTTCAAAACAGCACAAAATACTTAAGGTAAATGTATCAACATACGTCCGTGATTTATTCACATAAAACTGAAAAAACTCTAAAGATGATCCAAGTAAGTGGGGAAATGTTTTGTTTGTGGACGAACGAGTCAATATTGTGAAGATGACTATTCTTTT